GAACTCAGTAAGTTCCGAGCCTTGTGCATTCGTGAGACCCGTTTACGAGTGCACGGCGTCTGTTGCGCCTTGAAATTGGGTTTTGGGGCGTGACAGATTTAGTGGTATCAGAGCTTAGGTTGAAATTAAGAGTTTAGGATTAAATTAAGCACCACCAGATTTAGTGGTATCAGAGCCTAGGTTTAAATTAAATACCTAGGATTTGTTTAGAATTTGGCTAGCCAAGGGATAATAGGAACGTGGTGAGGCATGAGAGTGGGGTTAATTAAGAGCACTTATTTGATTCTTTATATGTGTGTTGGAATTATTAATTATTATGCTATTTGGTCCCGGAAGTGGGAACTTGCCGGGTCATTCTTAGTCGGGGCACTTGATTAATGATCTAAACCTTCTGTGTGATTATAGATGGCCCCGAAACGGCGTGGGCGGCCGAAGGGTGGCCGTAAGGACTCGGGCACACCCCCGATCCCAACTGCCAATCCCCCTGCCCAAGCTGCTCCTCAGGAGGGAGGGACGAGCAACCCTCATATGGCCACTTTCGTTCAGGAATTTATGGCGGAGATGAGACGCCAAGCGTCTCCTGCCACAAGTGTGCCACCTCCATCCCCAATGATTCCCACCCCGGCGGCCCTTGCTCCTATTTCTCCTGTTCCTATCTCTTCTGCTCCTACTGAGCCTAGCTGGAAGATCTATAATAAATTCCAGAAGATGGTGCCTAAGAGATTTGATGGTACAGCGGGTTTTGAGCAAGTAGGGTCATGGTTCACCGAGGTGGAGCGGGGATTCCACCTACTGCATGTTTCTGATGACCTTAAGGTCAGTGTAGGCAGTTTTATGCTTGCTGGGAAAGCATTAACTTGGTGGGTGAATTATATGAAGCTACACCAAGGAGAGCCTGAATTGAGCACCTGGGAGGGTTTTAAGAAGGTGTTCATGCAGGAGTTCATACCCGACAGCAAAAAGCGGGAACTGCAAAGAGAATTTGCAGATCTGAAACAAGGATCACGTACTGTTGAGCAGTACAAGGACGAGTTTGACCGCTATCTGCCTTTTGTGGGTGGTCAAGTCGGGGATGAGCAATCTAAAGCTGATAGATTTTTATGGGGCTTGAATCCTGACATCTACTTGGCGGTGAATCAATTTAAACCTGCCACTTATAGAGAGGCAGCGGATAGAGCCATAGATCAGGAGAAGGCTATGGCTAGGGTCAAGACTCAAGATCCGCAAAAAGTCGGGTCATCTTTTAAGAAGAGAAAATTTGATGAGAGTCGTAGACCCTCGATCTCTGTGCCGCCTAAGTTTGATACCAGCGAGGCTTCTAGAGAGCTAAGGGTTGCTGAGACTGTGGGTCGAGCGTCAGCAGCCCAACGTACTCAATCTGCCCCACTTGTTTGCCACACTTGTGGAAGAGTGGGCCACACTCGCGACCAGTGTCGCATTTTTTCTGGGGCTTGCTATAGATGTGGCCAACAGGGACATCGGGTTGCAACTTGCCCGCAGCCAGACCCTAGAGCTCAAAGTACTCAAACTGCATCTCCGCAAGGTTCTACGAATCAGGAGGTGCAGAAACAGAATGTCGGGGTTAGGACAAGAGCCCAGCAGGCGAGAGTTCACGTGATGACTCACCAGGAAGCTGCGGCTACTGACGTAATCACGGGTACTGCCTGCTAATTCTGATTATGCACATGTTTTATTTGATTCAGGTGCATCACACTTTTTATTGCTTGATTGTATGCTCCGAAACGAGCCTTACCTGTTGATGATTCTGATTTTTATCTGCATATGAACACCCCTTTAGGAGGGGTGATGACTATTAGAGATGTGCGTAGAATGGTAGATATTATATTGATGGTAGATAATTGCATGCTAGCTTGTTTGTTTTAGATACCTCAAATTTTGGCATCATTCAGAGAAAAATTAAGTCCGAAGTATATTGGACTATATGCTATCTCGGAAAGAATTGACGAGGTAAAAGGTTAGTCATCTTATAATTGAATGTGAGTTTTAGATTTTATCTCCTAGATTTGAGTTTTGGGGACAAAACTCCTTTTTAGGAGGGGTGGATGTAATACCCCGAAA